TGCCTAGCGTCGACCCACTCGTGACGTATGCTGCGGTGCTTGGGTGTTACTGCAATCCGCTGTATCGCACGACGCGCGCGCCAGTCCACTATCTACCAAACGCCGCCGTACAGTTCGCGTAGTGAGTGCGCCTTCCCCTGCCAGTGGCCAAACAGCTCCAAGTTGCCTTGAGGAGGACACACACGACGCTAAAGCGCTGAGCACAAGAACGTGATCCTCGAGTGCTGGGGACGCGCAGGGCCCTCCCGGTCGCGGCTGTAGGTACCTATGTCCTACCTCAGACCATTCTCGCCATGCCCGTTGCACTGCTGATAACGACCGCTCGAGACGACGCGCAATTTCACAGAACGATACACCCTCAATGTGCATACTCACAAACATTCCTCACTCAAACTCGCTTAAGTAACGCGATCGTCCATCCATTGCGCACAGAGTACGATAACAATGTGGTCCCTCACACCACACTAAAAACGACCGGTATTTTCCATCCATTTCGGTCTCCATAGCGACGGAATGCTCCACTTGGAAGGGCGGCTCAGTCAACAATGCCGCGACGGAACAACTCAAAACTCCCTGAATAAACTCGTCTACAGTAAATCTTTGTGCTCCGCAAATATTATGGATTTATCTTCACGCGTTCAGATTATATAGGGTGTGCTCGTGAATTATTTCCAACAGTGTATATGTAGATATAGAATTGGAGGGCATAATCAAGAAATTGAATCATATTTTTCAACAATACTGAAACTTTTCTGATCACTTTACTTTTTCATGCCGCTATCCAATTCAAACTATATATTCAAACTAATAACACTAAAAGTGCTACTCAAGTATTGCAGAAAATTTGTGAATTTAAATACACTGTTGGAAATAATTCACGAGCACACCCTGTATAATCTGAACGCGTGTGTCTAGCGCAATGAAATTTGGTATGGAAGTAGTACTAAAGTAGTGTGACTTATCCTCACATGGAGAGGTGCGCAACTCTGCTGAGAGGAGATACATCAACAGCGAGAGCATCCCACGTGAGCAGCGCGTACTATCGCTATAAGACGTAGCATACAGTCGATAAGTCGCTTAAGTAACGACCGGTATATCCCACCACACTAGAAACAACCGGTATATCCCACCCACTTCAGTCTCCATAGCGACTTAATGTACCACTTGGAAGGGCGGCTCAGTCAATAATGCCACAACAGAAAAACTCGAAACTCTGAATAAACTCGTTACAGTAAACCTTTATGCCCCGCAAATATTATGGATTTATCTTCACGTGTTCAGATTATATAGGGTGTGCTTGTGAATTATTTCCAACAGTGTGTATGCAACATCGCCATATTTTTACCTTAGGGTCTTAAACCTTTAGGGTCCAGCACCACCGTCATACAAGCGGAACTAACTGCTATTAAACTTGCTGCTGACTGCATTGTTGAATCCAACAAGCGGGGTAAGTGTTTTACTATTTTTACAGATAGTAAACAATCTCTTTTAGCTTTAAGCAAAGTTATTATAACGTCTGCAGTAGTTGTGAATTGTCACAAAGCACTGGAGGAGGCCGCGAAATACAATTCTGTCAGAATCCAGTGGATTAAAGGGCATTCCGGCTCCAATTGTAACAACCATGCGGACAGGCTAGCCAAACGAGTTAATAAAGCACATTACCCACAAAAAATTTTTAAACGGGTGGGACCGTACCCCGGGCTGTCATCTCGCTAAGGAATTGTTAAAATATCCTTCAGCCGCAACAGCCCAGTTCTTCGTAGAGCTCGGTAAAAGTGCCCTTCGCACTGCCACAGGTCTTCTCACGGGACACTGTAAAGTAAATAAGCACCTTCAAAACATGAAGCTTGCTGACTCCCCTCTCTGTCGAGCCTGTGAACAGGATGACGAGACGGTTAAACACATCTTGTGTGATTGCTCCTCTCTGACCGACCTCAGAGTGAGGACTTTCGGGGAGGAATGGCCAACCACAGATGACATCAGGAATGCACCTCTAGGAGCTGTCCTAGTCTTTGGTAAATCCTTAGGCTGGTTGATGTGACCAGAGTGTGTAATGGGGCCTAAGTGTGGCGTGCGGTTTTGCATGCACTCCCCAATCCATACATACATACACCGCCATATTAAGCAGATGAAATAAAATTGTTAAATAGTATAAAAATAAAACAAAATATTAGTTTATATATATATATTTAATATTGTCAACGTGAAATAATGATTTTTAATAAGAAAACATCTAAAAATAAATTATACAAGAGATTACTTAACGAAATTCTAATTGACTACTCGATTACGGAAAGGGAAACAATCAGGAAAGAGTGTTTCATTTCGATTCATTACAGCAGGAGTCCGTTTCGTTAAATGTATAAGCTGAGCTCGTCCACTATGTTCTTTACTATTTTTTTTTTAATATGAAAGTCTACTTTAAACGGTTCACACACATTATGTATTTTATTTTCACCGTTCCGACAAATAATTTTGGCTGAAATATATCATTTTCTTTAAATATTTTCGTTTATTGCTACAGAATTGAATCGTTCCACCGCTTTCGCTTTGTTATATTGACTAACTTGCAACGCACTATGGCCCGCACTTTTCGATGCTTCGAAGAAACAAGTTTTAATTTGTCGCCTCTTTTTATGTTTTATGTACACACGCTTTTTTTAATAAATTTTAACAACAAATTTTGTACACAACAACAATAGTTTAAATATCGATAATTTCAACAGATATGTACGAATTTTATCAAGTTTCCTTTCGTCGTCTTATCAAAGAATTTATTTAACAATATCACTAACAAAACTACACCGTGTGATTTTTTAATGTGGTTGATTTTAGTAATTTGTATTATTTTATCATTGTTTTTTTTAATATATATAAAACTTGTTTCTTGCGCTAACGCTAGATATTTAAAGAGAGTATAGAACAACACCTAAATGAAAGAAAGAGCTAGGTCGAGGAACATCTGTAAAAATCTTCACTATCTAATCGAACATTGTGCAACGCAGTTTCTTGTGCAGTACACTTACGGTTATGCTAGTCAGTACTACAAATGGCTGATCTACAAATCTGGTCCTATACCATTTTTGTCGGTCAGTCTTTACTCTTCTGCGCTAATTAATTTAATTCGTTCACAATACCATCGACGATAAAAATCCCGGATCAACCGACGCCACTTTTGCCGTTAAAAACGCGTGCATACAAAACAACAAACTCTGTAAAATCGTACATTCCAATTCCTTCGTTTCAATAGCCCTCGATTCAATGTCTTGAAAATGCAACTTTAATTTTGATTTGCCATCATCAGAAGAACCGCGCAACTGAGAAAACTTGTATTGCCACACTGGGATTTTTTGGTCAACTTCATACAATGAGAATCCCAAATTCCAATCTAAAGTTAATCCAGCCGTTTTTCCATTACAACTAACGGTAAATGTTTTATTCTGAAATCATCATTTTTTATTGAAACATTTTCATTTTTTCATTTAAAATTTACCCCAAGTTTCATAACTGCAGTACATACTGAGCAGTGCCAAGCATTTTCAATCCTTAACAATTCTTGACGCGTTTCCACCGAAAAATAACGGGAATCTTGACCAGAAGTTTGAACCAAAAAACAATGTTGTCGTTCGTCCACATTTTCGGAATCTTTTACAACCCTAAACATTGTTTGGTACACTTTGAAAAGGAGAGGACACTTTGTCCAATCACCTATAGTTAACTAAAACAACAATTTTTTTTAAATTAATTATAATTATTTTTATATTTACCGGTGGAGTATCAAATAACATTAAATCCGTTCCTTTTAAAGCAAAAAATCTTGGTTTATAATTTTGCCAAGGATGATTATTATTTAATACACCTTCATTTACCCATCCCATATATTCTATTCTATCAGATACACTAAAATTTCTATTATAAAGCTTCATCTGTAAATTGGTTAATCCAATTATGTTGTCAGTAATAAATTTAAGCCACTGCGAAAGAATGGCTGAATCGTCGCAATGAATGATCCCTGTGCTGATTCCATTCAGGCCTCGAACTTCGAAAGCGTTCGGTCGCAGTTTGTCTGTGCCAAAAATGTACCTCGTCACATAGGCCATCATCAAAGGTAACGTCACCAAGTCTATCCACCGAGTTTGTTGCGCCTCCTGGTCGAGTTCTGAACAAATTGAACTTGGTCTTGAATTTGTACTCAATGTCAATTTCAAACTATCTTCTGAAGCGTCTTTTTCATCACTATTTCCGCTTCCAGTACCGCTGTTGCTATCATTAGTCATTGATGATTCTTTTTCTTCTATTATTTTAATATAAATATTAAATATGTTATTATTATAACTTTGTAATATTTTGTTTTAAACTTACCTTGTTTTTGTAAGAAAGGGGTAGCTGCTCTATAATGTTTAACAGTTAAAACAACCAGATCACCAGCATTTCTTAAAATATTAACTGCATCATCATGAGGACAAGCTGTGATATATTCCCCATTAACTTTGATGATAGCATCGCCTACAAACAACTCCCCAGTCTGATCAGCAGCTTGATGCTTATAGATTCTTGAAATAAGAATGGGGAGTTTATGCTCAGCGCCACCCTTAATACTTAATCCTAATCCTCCAATTGTTTGCCTTCTAATTTGCACCATCCTCTCCTAATTATTTCAAATAATCAATTAAATGATTAAATTAAAATTAATTATTTACCTGTGATGTGGAAGGTTTTGATTCTAAGGGAACTAATTCTTCTTTTTGTAATCTTAATACTTCCATAGAGAGGTTGAGTCTTACAGGAACTGGTCTGCTTTTTCCATCACTAACAGCGACCATACCAGTACGAATTTTAAGCTTTTTGTCGATTTTCTCTTCAATCGGCGTCGTCATTTTGGTCGCATTTATCCTCATATTGGTGTAAATCGTCCTAAGGGCCTCTTTTCCAGAGGACTCTTTGAGGGAATCTTCTTGTAAAGTCTTCTAACTGTTGGTAAAGCGGCACATTGCAAAAGCCAGCCGCAACGTGATACACTAAGGGACATTAATTACTACACGTAGAGAACGGGGAGCCATTTTTAAAAGGTCCAAAACAAATGTGTAACAAAATAGAGTGGTTTTGTAGCCAAAGTGGTATTGATGTTTGAATAACTCCCATAAAAGAGCATAGATGGAACTTTACGACTTCGAAAAGGTTTTCTTATATCATAAATTAATCGATATATTTCGCTAGTCGAGTATAGATGGTGCGAGTAAGTTAAAAATATGAAGGAAGTGGGGAATATGACGTCATACCGGTCCTGAATTCAACAGAAAGACCTATTTTGATAATTCATATATTCAATATAATTTTTTTAGTCTTAAATAAAAAGGAGGCACCATCTATGAGTGGTTTGACAAAAAACACCCTGAGGAGCAGAGTAAAACACTTTCGTGTGATCGATCAAACAACTAAAACAGAACATCTTTTGACAACAGCTAATAGGCAAGATGCTGCAAGGCCTTCATTTTGCTAATTTTTGAACACCTAGGGAATAAGGGGTCTTTCAAATCTTGCTTCAACTGCTGTGTTATGATGAAAATGTATGCGGCCACGACTTAACTAACACTATGTCCACCTAAATCTGGAATTGCACTACCTTGGCTAAACTTATGCCGTAGAATCAATACCATACAAACCTAAAACTGATTTATGCATATTACAACTTCTCGATTGACAGTGACTTTGTCTAAACTCGGAGGCCATAGGATGGAGAAATTATTATTACTAAAAAAATATTTAAACGAAGCCAAAATGTAAGTTATGGATATAGACACTTTAAAAATAACACTTCTAAACTCTTGGACCAACGTGACATCACACACTGAGAACGAAGGATAATTGGGAGGGGATCCCGAGCAACTGGGAAAAATATAGAGAACTGAAAATCTTGAAATATACTCGATTGCTATAAAAATTATAATTTACAAATTAATATTCATTAAAGTTAAAATTCATATTTTTTGTATAAAGCATTATTAACGCGAGAGGCAGGAGGTTTATTGATAATTTCAGATATAAAGTGGCCTATTTTAACAAGTTGTTTCAGATCAATACCGGTTTGAGCACCTAATCCATGTAACATATAAACTAAATCTTCCGTGGCAACATTTCCGGTTGCTCCTTTCGCATAGGGACATCCACCCAACCCGGCTACCGAAGAATCAGCCACCGTGATACCCATCTAAAATTGAAATAATTTATCTTATTATCTTAACTGGATCAAGAAATAATTTACTTCTAAAGCTGTTAAAACATTAACTAACGCTTGGCCGTACGTGTCATGGCAATGAATAGCTAATTGGTTGGGGTCGGCAACATTTAAAACATCTTTAACCATATTTTGAATTTTATTTCTAGTTCCAACCCCAATAGTATCGCCCAACGATACTTCATAACAGCCCAAATTTAACAAAGCCTCCGTTACTTTTGTTACAGCGGAAGGTTTCACTTCGCCATCATAAGGACATCCGACAACACAAGAAACGTAGCCGCGTATTTTTAAATTATTCTTTTTGGCTTCATCCGTCACCGCTTTGATACGATTTACTCCCTCTTCTGCGCTACAGTTAACATTTTTCATGGAAAAGCCGTCTGAAGCCGAGGCGAAAACGGCTATTTCTTCGGCGCCGGCTGCAATCTAATTTTAGGTTGGGAATTTTTGTATGGAAACGTGGAACTTACTGCTTGCGCTAACCCTTTGGTATTCGGTACCAAAACAGGGTAAGAAATCCCGCGTTTCTTTGTTATTCCAGTAAAAACTTTTAAGTTATCACCCATTTGAGGTACCCATTTCGGACTGACAAAACTATAAATTTGAATAAAATGTTAAAGTCCGAGATTTCAATGAAATGTTGTGTTTTTTGTTTTCATTGTAATAATATAAGCAAAGAAACGGTTATGTTTATAAATATAAATGTTATTGAAATGTAAGATTTCAATATTTTTTTAACGAAAATCATTCGGTTAATATGTTTGGTGGTTGGAGGGTTGCTTACCTCGTAACTTCGATTGTCTTGAGGCCGGTGTCACTGAGTTTATTTATAAGTTCTATTTTTGCGTCAGTCGGAACGGTCGTCGTCTCATTTTGCAGGCCATCCCTGGGCCCGACTTCGACGATCCTCACGAAAGAGCTATGCTGTTGGGTACGAGAAGTTAGGTTAATTATAACTTCAATACGGTTCCAATCGTACCTGACGGTTTCCGTCGAGTCGAAGCGGCCATCGGTGGCCAAAGAGGCGTTTGAACTGTCGAATAGGCATTCCGTTGGAGACTAAACGACCAGAAATTGCTTTCAAATTTGAGGAACGCGTGTTGCTCGTAAACGATAACAGGTGACGTCACATGTGACGTCACGCCCCCCGAGATGCCTTTATAAATAGAGAGCGGACTGAGAGTTTTACGTAGTCGGGCTCAAATTCGAATAAATAATTGAAAACTCCTTTATAAATATTTATTTAACTTAACTATATTATAATCTTAGTAAATTTTACAAAATAATAACTATTGACATACATAGGTACAACTTTGTCGATATATAAATAAATGATGGCGCCTCCTATTCATCTTTATATTTCATCAAAAAGTATAAATAATAATATAATTAAAAATTGCTTTTTTCCTCAGGGCAATAATAAACGTTGTTTTATTTTGCGCTGAGGAACAAAGCTAATAGATAGTAATAAAAGAGGTATCCTCTTAACAAATAATTATCAACTAGAATTTATTTTAACTATCCTAAACTTAGTAATCTTTGTATATAATAATTAGGACAGAAGATTTCTTATCTTTCCACAACGATTTGGCAAAAAATAAGTAACGCTTCGATTATGTGCCGATGTTATCTAGTAGTTCTTTTGTATAGCAACAGCCCCCTGTGTTACAAAAAAAGGCACTAACCACCTGGACGGTTATGATTTTATTCTCTGACTAGATTGCAGGCTGTTTAAGTACACCGTATCACAAAGTTTAAAACATTCAACCTTCGGATATAAGGCACCCTTTACCAATTTTTTTGTCCAGTTTTATAACCATTTGACTAGCTAATATTTTGGTAAGGTTAACGAGTATTGTACGAATAAATAGCTACTCCTTTAATCCTAGTAAAGTAAATAAAAACGATCGCGATCAGACTAGACTTGCGCTAACAACTCAATTAGTTTATTATTAAATCGAGAATTGACTATCTAGTCTATACCTAATTTATGATAATTAGTTAATCGTGTTACACTACCGAGATTGCACGTACCTTTGCAGACCAACAAGGAACTCAACTGCAAAGTCAGCGATCTTGAGTATCTGCTTTTAAATTATACATATTATCAAGTTGTGTAACTACTTCCCTTTGGAATAATCATCATTGGTTTCGTTCGTCGTCTTACGGGGGAATCTTTTACTTTAACCGTCAGTTACGGCAATCTTGCTTCCTGCATGCTGGGCGCTTGCGCGGCTGCTGCCTGATAGGGTAATCCTGGAAATGCCGTCGCTGTTGCTGTTGGCAAACTTGGTGTTTGTGGCAGCGCATAAGTATATGGCATATATCCAGCACCTTCGACAAAAATAAAAATTAGTTTCTTTCAAAAAAATTCTTTTGTAATTTAACATACCAGCTGCGCCTGCGTACGGTGTGTAAGCATCGAAACCGTTTGGATATTGTCCTGTGTAGGGGGCGGTTGCCGCAGCAGCCATTGCAGCAGCATTTTGGTATTCATAAAATTGCGAAGTAGCTGCTAATGCCGCTGCCTGAGAGAGTTGCGTGGCGGGTAGAGGCATTAATGTTCCAGGAGCTGTAGCCGCTAAATACGGCGACTGGTACATATACCCCGGCATCCTGAAAACGAGGGAGATTAGGGGAAGTCGACTGGAAGTTGGGGGAGCCCCAAAGCACAACACTCCAAAAAAAAAATTAAAACCAAAGAACAATTGAAAGTGTGTACAACACGTGATTCTACGACAATGTCTAAATGAACTCAAAAATCATAAAATTAAAAAAAAAACATACGACTTCCGTTCTCGGTATTAGATAGAAAGGCGTTACTGTTGTTATATTAAAAACGACAACATCTATATAGAAAGGGGATATTTATAAAGAGAAGAAAAGAAGTTATTTCTCGAAGAGAGCGTCATTAGTGGAGTGAGGGTTAGAACAGAAAGGCGGCGACGTTTTATTTTCGATGCAGCAAATGTCGCGGCGGGTTTTATGCGTATGCCGGTTTATATATAGATATTTTATTTCCAAACTGGCCAATTTGGGCCGGACTGACAGCATTCGACGTAGAATGTTCAGGTTCCGTTTTCTCATTCGGGCCTAAATCACGAAAATTTCCCTCATATTTAAAGCCGACACTAAGCCAAATTGACATATTCACCGTTGCCAAGTCTATTTCCGTTCTGCGCTCCATTCTTTCCAACAAAGTTCATTTCGGACTCCTCGCCGTGCTAAATTATTGATAAAAAGATCTTTCCAACAGATAAAAATTTATTTATTTTTCATTTAACAGCCTTTCCATTGTATTTATTAAACATGCGTGGGTCCTATCTTACCAAATTTCAATAACAACGTCACCATAATAACACCATTCGATCGTGTATAATCACTCATTGTTGTGACCTTTTATGGTTTAGATCTTAAACAATTGGTACTTGCATAATTCTTCAAGAATACACTACAAAAATTTTATTACTCTTTTAACCACATTATTTTTTATGCGATTGTAAAATTAACATTAAAAATTTTTCCAAAAATGATTAATCCAAATCATTTAATTTTATTATATATGTATATGTATAATTTATGACAGATATTAAAATAAAACAGGAAATATAAAATATAACCTAATGTTCGCATCATCATTAATCGTATATAGAATAATAAAAAAAAATTAGATAGAGAAGTCTATTTCCCATGGCGTGTAATTTCATATAGCGCATCGAAAGGGGGAAAAAGGGGGTTATCAACACGATCTAAATCGGCGCGGAAATGTTTCTACCGGAGACCGGAAGCGAAAAATTGTAAAAAAAAAAACGGTAGAGCACGCGTCGGAAATATCCGGTGAACGGCGCAATCGTGAGCTCCCCTATCGCGGGGCGGCCAAACTAAACTCCGGATTTGCTCCGGGATTATCCAATGGGCGTTTATCCACCCCTTTGGAACCGCCTCCGGTTTGAAAGCGGCGGAGGCGGCAACCGTTCCCGAACCGTTTATTTCTGGTTAGGCGGTTAAAATGAAAAAAAATCTTCTTGGCACGTGCCAAAGGATGCGTGGGCGCGAACGTCTCGTGTGACAGGACGAAGGATATCTTAGCAGCTGGTAAAATCCGAGTCTATTTTCATATCCGAACGAGTTTGTTCATTGGTTAAGATTTTTTTACAAACTCGAAAAGACGTCAAAAAGATTAAATTTAAGTTAAAAACCAACAAAAAAGTATTAAAATATTGTTATAAAATCTACAAGAAACTAAGTAGCTACGAACGGAAAGAAAAAAGAAAACTACAACAACATTAAAAAAAATTTGTTTCATTGAGAGAAAGATGCGCGTCGATTTGTCTTTTGAAATTCAAGCCATACACACTGCTCACTCACTACTTTGACCGTTTAACGTTGGAAAGGTCTTGTATATATTCACCGAGCTGCTTGTAACACAAGTGTTTGTCACTATTACGAAATCGTAAATCGGCGATCCGCTCCTGTTAATAAGCAACATCGACCAAGGTGAACTGTTAGCTGTTAGTGTTACATCTGCAGTGGTGAGTATATTAACAGATAAAAAATAAATAAATAAATAAAAACTCGTAAAATGTAAAAAAGGTACGAACATCAAGTAGTCAGCCCAAAAAAAAAAGAAAACCTCACAGCAAACAAGTAAGAGAGGTCCGATACCTCCGTGCAAAAGTTTTAATTATAAGTGGAACTCAACTAATCAAAAATAAATTAAAAAAAATAAAAAAAAAGAAACCACACCCACACTCACAAACACTCAGCGTTGTACGTGTGAGAAACTAACTTCTGATAAAAGAGATTTGCGAGCTACTTTCATCGCATTCCGGATAACCGAGAGTCAGCCGATAGCTAATCTGTAAATTATATTGAAGGTCACCAACATGTCTTCACTATGGCCACTTTATTTTTGGCGAACGATCGATTCGACGATTGCTTATATTTTTTTTAACTTCCGATCTTCTGGTTGCACTTACCCGTATTGTCCTGGTAGAAGAGTCGGGTATCCTGCCCTCACCCCCGGAAAGGGAAACCCTGTAACCAAACGCATTCGATCCGTTACGTTGCTTTTGGCTCTTTTAGTACCACATGTCTCTTTAAAGCGGAAGTCGCCACCACCTGGTCGACCCATACGACACGTGGTCTAGTCACGCTTTCTTGATCTAACTACTTTATAACCGTTAGAATTTGGGTTTTCATCGAAATTACAATTAAATGACCAGATAGTGTAGACAACGCAATCGATTTACATCATTTAAAATTTTGACGGAGTAATAAAAGATGAAAATAGTTACATGCGTCATCAAATATTTAAAATGACTCGTCAAAATAAAATGGTTATATCAAAAAAGTAGTTTACCAAACAAACTTACCAGTTTGAACATTGCCTCTGGGTTTGGCCCCTAGGATGGCTAAATTAACGTTGGCTTTTCTGCCATCGATGATGGGATTAGGTTCCCTACAAGCCCTCTCGGCGGACTGTCGATCACCCATGATGACCTAGAAAGACAAGAGAAAAGACGTAAAATATCTCCGGGGGATTACCCCCAATATGAAATACAGACAAAGACAACAAAGACGAAATAAGTCTTTGTTTGCGATACTCACAAATCCATATCCTCTGCTCTTTCCGTTAGCCCTATCGGTGATGACGACGGCTTCTTCGATGTCGCCGTAAACGGAAAAATGTTCTCTGAGAGATCGATCGGTGGTGTGATAGGGAAGACCACCAACGAAAAGTTTTGTCCATGTGGTGTCTCGATTTTGAACGCTGGCACCATTCAGACCTGCTGGTAGGAGACCAAGACCTCCAACGAGGCTATCTGCTTCGGTGGAGGTCGGGGTGGCGTTTTGCATAAGCATTGGGGCGGCTGAAACGGCTGCTGCGGTGGAGGTGGCGGCGACTTGGTCGAGCTGATTCTCCGTGGGTTGCGTCGCGGCGGCAGCCCTGGCGCTGGCGGCGCTGGCCTCGGTGGTCCTTGCGGTCCTGTTACCGAACGGATCTGGCCGGTTACCGAGCGGGTTGACAATATTGTTTATATACTCTTTGGTGAAGTTGATCTTACGATCTCGCATAAGTCTATCGTTGGTGCCTCGGAGCACTGAACAACCTCACACCACTAAACGGCACGTACTACCGCAACCCCACGATGCATCACCCGGCGAATGTCGTACGTGGAGGAACGTAGAGCGTGAAATGCGTGCCCACTCTGTGTGTGTGTGCGCCAACACTGCACTAAATATAGCCGCTTGCGACGCCGAACGTTTTCGTTCGCGTGCCTCTGCCCCGGTGGCTACCTCGGATCTAACCTCCGGGAGCATCGCAGAAGTGGTGTCTGCACGTCGGCTACCACCACCACCACCACCACCGAGGAGGGGACCGAGGACCACGCGCGGGTACCGCACGACCTTCCTCGGAGGGGTGCATTATAATTAACCCTCCCGTCTCACCCATCACCCCCGAAAAGGCCCCCTTCCCGTTGCCACGACAATTGAATCCCCGTCCCTCTTTGATCTCGACTCTTCTAAATCATCCCTTATTATGCCCCCGTGTATATTTGTGTTTTCCCCTTTTCGAAAGTTTCAAAGAAAATTATCGTTGAATTTCATTCTAGATCATCTTCAAATTTATGTTTAAATCTAAAATCTTTATATGTTTCTTTATATACTTTCCTTCGAAAACTAAAATGTTTTAACCGGATTGTTTCGTTTGACTGATCCGGAACAGCCATAATTTTAACCCCTGCAGCTTTTTGTACCCTCACATCTGCATCTTCGTTCGCTACTAGTTCTCCCCTCGGCTATGCGAACACCTGGTTCATCCACGAGACCCTTTTGTTTGTTATGTTATTACACGCCACTATGATATTACATTTGAAATAAAAATTTTTCATAATACTTTATTATAAGTATACATATATATAAAATTATTATAATAAATTAATTTTATTTCTTATAATTCTCTAAATTATAAATTATTTTAATATTTTATATATATTGTATAAGCGATTTTTCTAATAAATTTTTTTCGAAATGTCCGCCGCGTTAGTAACTCGTTTCTCACGTGTACTCACCTATAGATTCGACACGGAAAGAGAAATAAACTTTTTCTGTGAATCAAAGTCAGGACAATAGCGGATAACTTTAAACAGTTCACGTGCGGTTATTATAAACATTTCGAAAAAAATTTCGCTTCAGAATAATGCATCCTTCAACCGTGTATATTATTTTAATATTTATATATATATTTTAATTATTTTATGTTAATAAAGTTTTGATTTAAAATAAAATTGTTTTATTTCTTATAATTCTCTAAGTTGTGTACCCCCTGGATTGACGATGGATGTTATAACAGTTTTTTTTTCGTGTTTAAAGCTACGGTTCATCTCCCCCTCGTTTGTCTGTCGAACAGCTGTTCCCTCCACTCAATGAACCCAACGCATAGTGCTTAATTATGATTTTTTTTTTCACATCATAGGAGATGCGAATGACATAGATCGAATTACTTCTACGCCGCGAAGATGTCGCTGTGGCGTCTAGACGCGGCCTTTAAACCTGTAGACGTATAAATAAATACTGGACTTTTGGAACTAGTCCACCGGTACCGGCGATTTCGAAACTACAAAGCCCGTTTTCTTAGCGCTTTCGGACCGTTCGGAAATAAACGGTGTGAATCTAGGTTTACACAGTTTACGTATCTGCTAATACGGAAATAGATATCGTTATCTTTAGTACATTTTTTTTACATACGCAACGAGGTTGTTTTATTTTTTTTTATTACCGAGTTAAACGAAGTTTTCGAAGGAAACCGTAACTGAAGGGAATTGTAGCGGAACGATTTTGATCCAAAAATACCGTGGCAGTGGGCAGGCCGATTTTCTTTAAAAACGACGAAATGAAATAGGGACTATTTCTGTTAGTAGGAAGTAAAAAGGCGAACTGTATAGCCGCAGCTGTCGACGCCATCTGAAAAAGTTCCAGGAGATATTCCTGAACGCAGCTGCCGGCCGTTTGTTCAGGCGATTATTAATTTTAACACGTTCGCGAATAATTTAGATTAGCGATTTGTGGAAAACAAACAGTACCGCCCGAATTGCGTCCGCCTGTTGATTGATCCCTACTCATTTTTACTAAAGAAAACACGTGTCTCTGTCTTTTTTGACACAACATTAACTTTGTATAATCATTTATACTTAATTTACTTCAAATATATTATTACTATTTATTATACATCATTAATTAAATATTAATTTTATTACTACAATATATATATATATATACTTTTTAATATAATATCGGTATGGTATAAATTGCTTTTAAGTTTAGCGACCTCTGCTAAACTCAAAACAGAACATGTTCTATTTCAAATAACTAAGCCAAGGTCACTTGCGGCCGAGCCGTTACATTTAACACCTTATCAATACTAAATTGAATAAAACATACCCTGATGCCTCGGCCGCAAACGACCTCGGCACAGAATAACCAGAAATGGCACTGACGTCGATTCGTTTGATGTTGGCGGCACCCAAGATTTGTATATAAGGGGTTGTCTAATTCAAATTTTTAAAATAATGTAATTGAATTAATTTAATATATTTAGTGTGGTATATAATTAACAGCGGTAATAAAACGGAAAATAATTCAACTTAATTTTTGATAAAATTCACTTATCGTTAAATAATTGAGGGAAACTAAAGTAGTAATAGATTTATGTTATCACTAGAGAAGACACTTCAACTCTCGCTAAACATGACCTTGAGGTTGCCCGCGCAATCCGTGGCCACTTACGTCACGAAACACTCCTGCTCTTGCCCCTCGCCCACAAACTATAATCAAAGTATTACAGCATAGGAACTTAGACAACCTTTAATATACAAACGTTAAAAGTTTTGTGACCTCTATTTAAAACCCGTCATCTTATCACGAGTTACCAAAACCACAGAATCCAGGTCCGTTGAGTAAACATACTGTATAAGGTTATTCAACTCCCTATGGATAATGCGGATAACCCAAATGATTCTACTGGGTGTCCAGTAAGTAGGGACGAATTCGAATTTGGCGCCGTTTTGTTCTGTGACGGTTGGCAGCCGTGGGTTTTTCATATTTGTTATCTTATAACCTTCCCATTAGTAGCCTGATCACTTTTGTTTGGTGAGCGTTGTTGTTTGACGTTTATTTTCGTCATGGAGCAGATGTCAATTGAACAACGTATCCAAGTAATAAGAAGTTACTACAAAAACAGTGAAAGTCCCACATCAACCGTTCGTGAATTGCATGTGATACTCGGACGTAATGTTGCTCCAACCGAATCCACAGTTCGTAAGTTAATCCGTAAGTTTGAGACCACGGGCTCTGTTTCAAATATTAAGAAAACGGGGCGACCGCGTTCTGTTCGAAGACAAGAAAATATTGCTGTCGTGCGTGATAATGTAACCGAAAGCCCCAGAAGATTGGTTCGCCGACGAGCTCAACAACTGAATTTAGTTCACTGCATGTAATCCTTTCAAAAGATCTGAAAATGCATGCGTACAAGATTCAACTTACACAAGAGTTGAAGCCTACAGATCATGGAAAGAGACATCGCTTTGCTCAACTTCACGAAACGAATAATTTTCTCAGATGAGGCTCACTTCCACGTCAGTGGATTCGTCAATATGCAAAACTGTAGAATTTGGGGTACCGACAATCCGCGAGTGACTGTGGAAAATAAGATGCATCCACAACGCACGACTGTGTGGTGTGGGTTCTGGGCAGAAGGAATGATCAGCCCATACTTTTTTGAAAATCATGAAGGAGCTGCCATCACTGTGAAGGGCGACCGTTACAGAAACATGCTTTCTGATTGGTTTTTCCCAGTTGTGGATGAAATGACGACTTTTTGTTTCAACAAGATGGTACGACATGTCACACATCCCGTGAAACGATTGCTGAATGAAAAGTTTCATCAAAAAATTATCTCTTTGCGTGGCAACCAGGAATGACCTGCCAGATCATGCGATCTTACGACTTGTGACTTTTTTATAATTTTTGATAACTTATGTATGAAGGAGGGCGATGTTACTTAATATGTTTGCAAAAAATTTTACATTTTCAATAAACTTTGTAAGTTCTATAGCACTTTAATATTCGTCCCAACTGCCTGAACAGCCTTTAGTTCTAGGTATAGTGTTACTTTTAGTGATAGTGCAAGTGCAAAAGTAGAACTAACACTATATCTAGAACTAGAATCATTTGGGTTTAGCCGTCTTTAGAGACGTGTGGCTAAACCCAAATGATTCTAGTTCTAGGTATAGTGTTAGTTCTAGTTTTAATTGTTATGCAGCGCTAGACCAAGAACGTTCTAGGTCTAATGTTAGTTCTAGTGACAGTGTAAGTGTAAAAGTAGAACTAACACTATACCTAGAATTAGAATCATTTGGGTTTAGCCGTCTTTAGAGACGTGTGGCTAAATCCAAATGATTCTAGTTCTAGGCATAGTGTTAGTTCTAGTTTTAATTGTTATGCAGCGCTAGACCAAGAACGTTCTAGGTGTAATGTTAGTTCTAGTGACAGTGTAAGTGTAAAAGGAGAACTAACACTATACCTAGAATTAGAATCATTTGGGTTTAGCCGTCTTTAGAGACGTGTGGCTAAACCCAAATGATTCTAGTTCTAGATCTAGATCTAACACATCAAATGCTGCGAGGCATTGCAGCCACCAGTACCTTTGCTTAATCAGGCAAAACCTCACATTATATTATTATTATTATTAATCAAATGAATAATATAAATTAATACAAAGTACAAATTCTGTATAATACATCTAAGTAAAGCGAAAATATTTGATTATCTCCTTAATTATTTATTATTGTTGTTAACATAGGATACTTAATGTTCCATTTAATTAAGAAAGTGAAATACATTATTTATAATTTCGATCGTATTCGTTCTATTTTTTTTTGTTTTTGGACGCACGTGGAGGTAACTGATGACTATTTATAAATAGTCATAAACAAGAACGACATAGTAAAAGCTTCGATTCATTACTATCGATTCCGTAAAAGCATAGGCGGGCATAATTGTGTACTTCCACTGTCCCTTACATTAATCTTTACGTGGGCGGTGGGTTTTCGCTCCATCGGCGGTGAACGATGAATAATAAATGGAAATAACAGGTGGACAGTAATTTGTGTAAAACGCGTCGCCTGGACAGCAGAAAACACGCTGCTGTGGGGCCATTATTTGACAATTAAGGGAAATCAATTCGGAAGGAATTAATGTACGATTCGACCGGGATTCATGTCGGGATCGATTCACCCAAATGATCGAAAACATAAACACTATGCCGATAAAATATTCATTAAGACAACAATGACATCATCAAGAGCTGATTTTCGTGTCGCTACGACAATGTCTATTTTGAACAAAGAACGCGCTCGTCTCTGGCAAGTTGACAATTTTTTCCCTCCGCTTACCCCGACACCTTCACGAGCGTTCTATTTCGATTCTAGAAACGCTCCTCACAAAAAAAAATAACGTGCTGGCCAACATAATATTTACGCCGTATCTGACCATTCGTGTTGCCAACGTGATGCGCTACCCAGATAACTATCGACCGACTCTTTCAGCAAATAAACCATCTTTCTTCCTACTACACATTCTTTATACAAACGTTTATTTCTTTTTTTAAAATTCAATTTTAACTCTAAAAAAATGTTTTATTTATAAACCTAATTAAGTTGTAATTAAGTCATATAAATATATAATTTAACAATAAAACAAACATTTTATGAAAAAAATTTTTTATTTTTAATCTTCACCCTCCACCCAAGAGATTTCAGTAAGAAAAATAAAAGATATGAAACGTTTAAAAACTGTCTTGGTAGTTTACGTCATATTGTTGGTTATTATAAAAATTGTTTGGTTGTAAAAGTTCTTGTAATCTTCGTAAAACCGAATTTTTTGAATATTGGTTATACCAAGCATCCAATAAAGGTGATAAAACATCTCTGCCTGGAGCGCTTGGTGGGGCGTAAGTAATGCTTATTTGATCGTTTCCTGGGTTTGGAGGACCGTATCCAGTTTGGGGGGGTCCATATCCAGTTTGAGGTGGTCCATAACTTGCTGGTGGAGGTCCGTAAGTATATCCATATGTGTTTCTGATAGTCGTCTGTTCTGTGGGTGTATTTCCAGTTGATCCTTCGGTGGTTGTAGTGGATGTGGTGTCTTCTTCATCTTGCCTACCAAAAGGATAATCATCGTTATAATAATCATATGCGGAATCGTAATAATCGGGATCTCTATTAATAGGTCTTCGATTTCCTCTAATCCTGTTTCTATTTCCTGGTCTCCTTCTTCTTCTATTGACTTGTCGGTCAAAGTAGTCATCATAGGATGGCGTTGTGGTTCGCTTTTTATTAGATGGTCTTTTTCTGCCTCGTACCCTATCATCATAATCTGGTCCTCTTGATCCTTTCCTTGAGGAGCCCCGTCTTGGCCTATTAGCAGTTTCTTTGTAGTCCGGAAACTCTAATTCATCATCTAATAGCCCAGTTTCTTGCGGTTCTTGATCGATTTCTCTCGTCTTATTAAAATGAGGTTCACTTCCATTGTACTTTACGTATTTATAAAATTGATTCGATGGCTCAGCTTCGTTATCTTGTATTTCTTTTGATGATTGAGTTTCCCCTTCAGTTGAAGATTGTTGTACTGAAACTTCCTCCTCCTCTTCTTGTTTTGGAAGATTATTATCATCTACGCCATCTTCTTCAGGTGGAGAACGAGGCGTGGTCGTTGTTCTTCTATCGTGGATATGGATAATTTGCTGTTGGTTCAACGGAGGAGGAAGGATGTGAGGAGAATGAGTGGTGTGGGCGTAATTTCCTTGCAAAGAATACCATAAGGGAGGAAAATATGGATATAGTGGTCGAAACGGAACCCAAGGAGATTGGTTGTAGCCTAAAAGGTAAGGTTTACCTTGACTGGCTTTTGCGAAAAATGTTGCAGCTAAGAGAAGCCCTAAGAGAGGTCCTTGGAAAGTCCTGGGTTGTCTTGCTAAGTAATCCGGCTCTATTGCTGAAGAAAATAATCACAATTTAATATACTTTGGCCATTAAGGTTTGTATCAAAGTATATTTTTCTAACTTACTTGTAACATTGTAATACTCCGTGGTTAACATTATTAAGTTGAGTAATTCACAAGTGCATCCTTCGAATACTTCTGGAATACTAAGCTTTTCACAGAGCACAAGAGGTAAAAGCAGGAGATACTTTTATGCGGGTCTTTGCAAAGAGCCCTCATGAGTAAGGTGAAAACGGTAAGAATTTTAATAGTTTTGATTAGGAAGATATAGAAATGTGGAGCAGTCATAAATCATTTTATAAATAATACTTTTTATATTACAACATAATAAAAAATTACTACTTAATAATAATTAATAGAAACAAAATTAATTAAAAAAACAAAAAAATAATAAAATTAATTCGTCATATTTCAGCGCCATCTATGATATAGCCGTAGAATTAAACCCCCCATTTTTATCGTCGATAAAGCAGAGCACGCTCGAATACCGCTAATTCAACACTCTTCGTTAGATAACTACGATTTAGGGACATCTATTTCAAAATAAAAGAAACGCAAATTGAATTTGAAAATATTTAATCATTTTTTCCAGAAATGAGTTAAATTCAATAGCATAGATAAGCGGATCATGACTCAGTTAAGGAGCACGCTTAATCGACGATAAGATAAAGATAAGCCGGTTCATTTGCAAACGTTACACTAGCAGCTCAAAACAGGTTCAGCATTGCCGCCGAGATGATCCACCCTCGAGAAATAATGCGCACTAATTCTGAAGTTGGAAGTCAATTTTCCGCCCCAATAAATAATAGACGAACAACAACGATAGATTGTGGATGGGCTGCCTTGCCGTGTTTGGCCCAACGGTTAAATTTGGAGAGATGGGCGAAAGCGGGAGTTTTTCTATATTTCTTCGCCCATTTAGGAGCTCTTCAAGGAGTAATGCTTAGTTATTTTAGAGGAACCGCCCATATTTGGATGCAACATTATCAATATTCTGAAATTTTAATTGGTAAGTATTTAATTATTAATTAAGAAGTGTATTTATGTTTTTTTAATAGGATGGTTGTTATATTCCAACGAAATATTCGTCGGGGTTTTTGCCCTTTTAATATCGTATTGGGGTAATAGGATTCATAGAGTATCTTGGTTGGGTGGTTTAGCAATTTTCCAATCTTTTATTGCTATATTTTTGGTTATCCCAGAAACTCACGAACCTCGTTTAGATGATTTCCGTAATACAACAGGTAAAAGAATTGCTAAAATTTTTTTGTTTTTAATTAATTTTTTATTTAGTGACGGATTTTCTCTGCACCAATTTCTTTAGTAAGCTTCAGTTAGGATTGGAATTTAATTATATCGCCTTAATATTGTTATTTTTATTCCAATTATTTTTTGGATTTGCCACAATATCTTTTTACACACTTGGGTTGTCCTATATTGACGATAACATTGAGAAAGATAATGCCTCAACGTATTTAGCGATTCCCATGGCTGCGAAAATTTTTGGAAAACAAGTTGGGTTGTATTTATCTTGGGCGCCGGCTCTCTCCAATAATTTAATAATTTTTACCACTCCAGGTAAGCATCTATAAATTAAATAAATATAAAAATGGTATAGAATTAAAATTTTTAGCATGGTTGGTTTTATCATCGTTAATATTCATTTTTGGCAGCATCATCACGTTATTTCCAATCAGTTTACCTGCTATGGCGTTAAAAAAAGCGGTTGCATCTTTGTTGAGTTTAGCTGGAAGGCACATTGAGGGGGATGATGAAGAATGCGATGAAGAAGATGAAGAAATAGAAGTAACACAAGATGGGTTTTTTACAACGCTTTGGAGGCTCTTAAAAAATCCTGTCTTGATGTTAAATATTGCCGCGTGCACCTTCGCTGGAATAGCCTTCGTAAATTTGGAGATTTTTCAAAATAAATTTTTTCAATCACGATTTTTCGTTCAAGTTGGATCAGATCTTTCCGGTTATCAAGACAACCTCATCTCAAAAATAGCAAACGTTATTAAATACCCTTTCATAGCTACGTCACTTATCGCAACAGGTTTCATTATCGCCAAAGTGAAACCAAAACTTAAATACATAGCATTGTTCAACGTCATGATTTACACTATCACAGCATTGAGCTTCATCAGTTTAGCATTTTTAAGTTGTGACGTCACACTTCAAAGCGATATTCCTGGAAGGTTAATAACGCCATCGTGTAGTAGTCATTGTTATTGCCCAAAAAACACTCCGTTCGTACCAGTGTGTACCGTTGAAGGACAAAAAACTTATTTCTCACCTTGTCACGCTGGATGTCAAAATGTGAGCTTTTCAAATACGAAGATTTATTCGGGGTGTACTTGCGGAGAAAGTACTACTTCTGTAACAGAAACATCCGCAACTGAAGGTGCTTGCAACCAAACTACTTGTAGCTTATATTTTGTTGTAGCTCAAGCCAGTATTGTAATGGCTAGCTCATCTATGGTCAGCACAGTTATTACGAATTTATTAATTAATTTAAGAGTGGTTGAGCCTGCAGATAAAGCTATGGCTTTAGCTTTGGAATGTACATTTTTAGGAATATTACCATATGTTCCTGGGAAAATTATTTATTCTTATGTAGCTGGTAAGTTTTTTACTTTTATGGTTTAAACACTTTTTGGTTTAGTTGTGTGTTTATTAAAATGATTGAATATGTACTCTATGTGAAAATTTTAAATTTATGGATTTATGGAGAAAAAAATATTCTTGCATCAGTCAACGTTGTTAATATATCATTTTAATTAAACGCACTATTAAACCAATTATTATTTTATACTTTCTAAAATTTTTTTTTTAGAATCACTTTGTAGATATACCGGAAATAATGGATGTTTATTAAATTCTAAATCATTTGGATTATTTTTCTCAGTAACAACAATAGTACTTATTGGAATAGCTGCTTTGATATCAGTAGGTGTAGTATTATTAATCGGAGATATTCACATTTGGACTAAGGAGGATGAACCTTCAACGGCAAATAGAGATGAAATTGAAAGAAGTCGTGTTGACAGTGATTTTGGTACGGATGATAATTTGGATTTTAACTTAAGATCGGTTGGGCAACAAGAAAGAAACGATAATCGAGAGAGATCTAGTATATTGCAATCGTCATTTTAGGTGACAATAATACAAAAGAATATATATGTTAAATATCCTTTAATTCAAACTCAACATCGTCATCAAATATTTTTAAGCCCTTCACAAAATACCACACGCCCACGTCGAATATGGTGCCTATGGTGACGAAACCAGCAGCCGTGAAGTTTAAAGTATATCTTAAAGTTTCGCTATTATATAGCCAACAGTTTCCGTTTCCAGAACAAGTTTTGCCCCAAACCAAACAAGCTTTATCTGCAAAATATGAATTAATTTTATGGTTACTTTTGGTAATTAACTTTACCTAAAATGATTCCGAAAAGTATTGGGGATGGAACAAAAGCGCAAAGACTCATCATCATTAATGCAAAACCCATGGCAACCGGTTTATCTTTTTCTTCAACGCATCTCACCGTAACTAAAAAGTTAGAAACTCTTCCAGTAGCTCCTGTGAATTTCAATAAACAAACTACAGCTAGAAATGCATAGAATTTTGAAAAACAGTCTACATGACAATTGCCGGAAGTTGCGTAACCATAACCATCATCAGATTGAATACAAGAGCACTCTTTATATAATTTAGTTAGGTTTGTGAGTGAATATTGAGAACATCCTGCGTGACAAGCCGAGATAAAAGACGTTTTGCCATCCTGAGAACAAACAGGGTTGTATTTGACATAATCACAATTGCAATTTGAATTACAACTATTTGTTGATTGATATCTAAAACATAAAGGACCATAAATGAACTCATAAACTTTTTTTCATAACACTTTTACCTTTTTGCTATGGGATTAATATCCAAACAATCTAAATAAACATACGAAATAATTCCAAAAACCGATATTGCACCTACAACAACATTCCAAGCCGCCAAAATTCTAGCAGTCGGTTTAAACTTTGATATTATTAATCCTGACAATAATACTCCTATCGCTGAAAATATTAAACCAGCTGTTCCTGTAATTAAACTAGATGCTGAAGCTGATTGTTTATATAACGTTTCAATATATTTCGGTAAGAAAATCCAATAAGGCATGTAACCCAAGAAATAAAAGACGGCAGCGAAATTATTTAACATTAACGTCGGATTTTTTACTAATCTATTAAAAGTCTTCATCATATCTGCAAAATATTAATTATTTTTAATAATTATTTATTTATAATTGTAACCTTTAAAAGATCTTGGAAGCTCTGGTTCATCAGTTGTGGAACGCGTTGTTAATTTTCTTGCGGCAGCTCTTGGAAGTTGCTTCGGAAACAAAGCCAACAATGAAGCACAGAGAAAAATAATACCTGCTAAGATAATCCAACCTAACCACCAAGCTCCAAGCCATCTAGGATCGTTATTATTTATGGTGGGCGTTAACGAAGGGGAAATATATAATTTTAAACAAATCGATGCTAAAGCATAACCTATAGCTGGGCCGAGAGTTCTTAAAAAATATGATATACCTAAAATGGAATCTCTTTACTAACCAATAAAAACATATTTTTACCCAAAAACTGTTTTATTTTTTTACTTACTAATTAAAGCGGGAGTTTTAGATTTTCTTATGTTATCATCCATATAGCTGATTCCTAAAGTGTAATAAAGAGGGGAGCCGATCCCTGATATTAATTGGGCGGTAAATAATATTGCTGTAGCGGGAGCGTAATTCCCTTCCTCCATATCACATTCCGTCAATGTTTGATTAATCCCGCATAAAACTTTTTTCTTCTCAAGCTCAAACACCTTATCCGTATTATTGTTATCCATTTGTCCATATTCTATAGTCAAAAATAACGCATCTTTACCAGCTCCATATAACCAATGAGGTAGCGCAGTTAATAGACAAAATAACACGACTGTATAAAGTCCTATCGCCATCCAACGCGGTCTATGTCGCCTTCCAACATAATAACTCAAAATCACAGATACGAGGAGTTGACTCAAATCATTCCCAACAGTTATTATCCCAGTTGTTTTGCTTGGAATTTTGAATCTTTGCTCTAACGTGGTGATTGTTCCGTTATAATAGGCGTAAGTTGCCGAAAATAGACATCCTAATATACCATAAAGGAACACAAAAGCTTTTTTATTAGCGAATTTTTGTAACAACTTCCCTTTGATAAACCATAATCCACAAGTGGTGTCTTCATCGATTTCTACAGAAACGGATTTTAGAACCACCTCTTCCTCAGGAAGGATATAATCCGAATTCCCATTATCTTTGTGATTCGCGTCCATGCTTTCCCTTCACATTCTCGATTAAGACTCGTTGGATGTCGAACTTTAGTCGCGCGCTGTATCGCGTTTTGTAACCGGTGGGCGACCAGGATACGGTTTAAAGAACTAAACGCGGTAATTGCTAATGGTCGATTTAAGTCCTTGTTAAGGAACGGCGGACGTCATAGCGCCAATTCCCTGTGTCAATAGCGATGTGAAGCGTTTCAAATTGGGTCTCCGGTACGAGGTACGACGCAGTTGAACTACCTTGGGGATTCCTTTCAAAAGGGATACGCAGGATTCCGATACATCAAACATACATTTTGTACAAAATTCTAAGAATCGAAAGGATTCATGGAAAAAGTTTACAAATTTTGACAAAAATAAGATGTATAATAATAATAATAATATTCCTTTATTACCCAACAGGCATAAAAAAAGGATAACAATATATATTCAATAATGTAATAATACAATAATATGTGTATATATATCTGTATGTGAGCAAAAAAATGGAATCCTGTTGCCCACTTTACAGAGAGTGTATATTGCAATGTTTGTCCTGGTATAAGGAATGACGAATACGCAGCTATATCTTGAGTTACTCCTTGGAACAACAAACCCTAGTCGCTCAAGAATGAAAGAATGCTATAATCGATAAGCTTTTGCAGAAACTTTTCATAAAACGCGTTTCTTCTGTCCGTCAAGGAATCCATAATGTGTCGCGAAAGCAAATTATTTTGTGGTATACCTCACTCAGGGTAAATTCCATCAGATTTGTAAGAAAGAAATTTTAAGAATCAGACAAGCGTATTGTAACTTACTCAGAACGTAAGCACAATACAAAGTCTTTAATAAGTTGACACTTGTGAAATATTTAGACATACGCATCACAAAACCTACGAACACACATTATTGATATGTGTTTTAAAATTAAGACTTGCATCAAACAGGACGCCCAAATCCCTCTACTCCTCTGCACGACTTAAAGTGCTGGCAGAAATATTGTAAGGATATATCCATGGTGACGAGCATTGGCTATAAGTAAGTACACAACATTTATCTATATTAAGATTAAGTTTGTAGGTCTTACACCATTGCACTATTGTGTTTAAGTTGTGTTGCAGCTTATCTGCATCTGCCATTGATGAGACTTCGGCAAAGATCTTGATATTATCAGCATACCCCAAAATCCGACAATCAATTTTTAGAAGTAAGTCATTTATGAAAAGAACAAATAAATTTGATCCCTGTGGAACCCATGAGGTAAGAGTGAACTCATTAGAAAAATATCCATTGTAAGCAACATAACATTTTCTATGTTGCAAATAAGAGGCCAGAAGTTGAATTGTTGAATCAATCAGACTTGCCCACGTCTATCCAAGGTGCTACAGATAAACTTGGAAATCGTAGCCAAGTTGGTAATTGTACAAAACCATGCTGGGAAGCTGACACAAAGGGGCGTGTGCTAGTGTACATAAAAGAATATAATAACTTTTCAAATAGTTTAGAAAAATTGGAAATTATCGAAATTGGTCTATAGTTTGAGAGGGACGTACGATCATCCTTTTTGTAAACAGGCACAATTCTTGATCGTTTCCATCGTTCAGGAAATTCACAGGACGTAATGGAGAAGTTAATAATAAATTTAAGAAGGCAAGCAAATATATAACGGCAGTCTCTGACCATAATAGTTGGCAACAAATCATCTCAAGCAGTATGCTTATTAGAAAATGTTGCCATTAATTTAATTAGTTCCTCTTTTGTAGTGGGATGAAAAGAGTATGGCAACGGATTGAAATTAGATTCAGTGAAAGTTCGGTCAGTAGAAACATATTGGCAAAAGCATTTACAATATCTTGAGGATCAGCTTGTGGTTTCTTAGCTCGGAGAAAATTCCATATACTGGACGGATTTGTTTTGATGGTATCTTGTATGTTGTTAAGATACTTAATGTAACTGTCGCTTATTTCATTTTTGTGATAGAATTTTTTAATATTAATATGTCTCTTTATTTCCGCCGAAAACCACGGTGGGTAAGAATTATTAGATTTGGTTTTAATAGGGACATGTGTATTAATTACGGAGTGAATGGCATCATACAATCCATAGCCTCATTGACAGCGGTATGGGAAAGCAAAATCATACTTAAAGAAGTGATCATATACACAGGAAAAAATCGTGTCGTGTAAAAATTTTAGAGTAGTTGGTAAAAAGAATTAGAGTAAAAATTGTAATATCACATGGTAAAAATAACTCTAATGTACACTATATTTAATATTAATATAGAGTTCATATGTTATTCACTTAATAGAGTAGTTTTTACAGTTCTCTAAACGAGCGTTCTTTTTTACTTATGTTAGTGAAGTTATGTAATATATAAAACATTAAATTTTACACAAGACATGTAAACTGTACTTTTCCTTCAGGTACTTCGTAGGCATCGCACTATTTTGCTCGGGATTACACGTCGGTACCACGTGATTAACATGTGGTGTGATACCAAGGTTTATATATAAGAGGTTGTCTAGGTTCGTACGCAACCATATTGCGCATTACGTCACATGTGGAAAATAATACCGCCAAGCAATTCAAATTAAACAAAGGCATGGAGCACCACATGGCCATGAGGTTGCGTGCGCAATCCGTGATCGCTTACGTCACGAAACACTCCTGCTCTTGCCCCTCGCCCACAAACTAAAATCAAAGTATTGCAGCATAGGAACTTAGACAACCTTTAATATATAAACCTTGGTGTGATACAGCTAAAATTTAACGGTCATTTACTAAACGAGTCGGAACTCGACAGCGTCTCGAGACCTGATTTACGGGATATAAAAAGAAAGAACGATTATTTTTATTTTAATTATGTTTGCCAAACATTCGTGTTGTGAAATTAGTGGATCTTCCGGAAGATTTTACGTACGAGTTCCTTGCGAAGATTGGTAAGTATGTACAACTATACATACAGAAAACTTATAGAAGACTCGTTAGATGCAGTTTTCATGGTGACTCGGTGGAAACTTCAAAATGGATTAAGTATGGTTATATAAAAAGAATTTATTTTTTTTTAAATTTAAGATATAACAATATATTACAAGTAAAAATAAAAAGAAATATATTTATAATTTTGATTTTTATTACAAACCTAAAATCTTCCTAAAAATATTCTATACTTCCTATTAAAAATTAACACTAATAAGTGAAAGATACACATTATTTAGTGATATTTTGTCACTTAATAGAGTAAAATTAGAACGAATCTTTAATAATTTACAGTGCTAATTTTACACTGATTAGATTAGAAATGTATCTAATTAGAGTCACGACAACATCTAGTTAGATTACATATAATACACTGTTATAGAGTAACGATTTTACACTATTTAATAAACACCATCTTTCACTATTTAGTGTAAAATTTTAATCTATTCACCTACACTATATAGTGCAAAAAAATAACTCTAAATATATTGGACCGATCTGAACCATATTTTAGAGTTGATTTTTACTCTATATTTTTTCCTGTGTAATGCAGGATAACTTGCTTGATGGAAGTAAATTATCAGAAGATGGGAACCGCTGGTGATTAGTAGATGTAGAGTAGTAAACTTCCACTTCAAGACTGCGATGATGAATCTTCTGGTTCAACTGGATTATTAGATCTTATTATGTGAAAATTCATGTCAGAATTAGAGATCAAGAAATCCAACATTCTGCCATCTTCATTCTTAACGTTATTGTACTGTTTGGCATTAAGAACACTTAAAAAATCAATAAAATCCCTGGTTTTAATTGAATATTGACTACTAGGTAAGATTAAATCGGGAAGATTGAAATAGCCTCAAGAGTAGTAGATGTGTCCATATCATCAGAAGATATATAGGGAGGAATCTATCATAGGTACTGTTGCAGGAAGATGACTATAAGTATAAAGGAAAATTTCTGAATATAAAATGTGGTATTTCGAAGAAAGTATTGTTTAGGAGAAAATTCATTGATACGTCTGAACGTCGATTTGGAAGGGGGTTGGGATGGAGGTTTAGCGTAGAGGTAGGACATTTGTTCCGAGCGAGGTGGCGCTGCTTCAATAGAAAGGGTCGAGAGAATGCGGGGAATTAAAAATAAATGGAAACTTTTTCCATAAGTCCCGGCGAGATTACAAATAATGAAAGCCGGGCTCGCATTGCGTTTAGAGTTTTAATAGTCTTATGGCACATCGGGCGGAATTACTCGTTTTTCGGGGCGACGCCGCCGGAGACAATGGTGGAGAAGGAGGCGGTTGCCTCCCGGTTTGAAGTCCCGTCTTCGCTTTAGGGGCCGGGGCGTGATTTCGCCTTAATCCTTGTATAATGGTCGCGTAATTCTTCGACTACCGATCCGGCAACTCTTTCTTCGGCACCTAATGTATTCAGGGGGCATTGCGAGAGGGCGAGGGCGAGATTTGTTCCGGTTACTTAACGTTTTTAAGGCTGCGACGTCGTGGGGCAGAGGGGGGCGGGGATTAAAATGTAATAACTTCGTCCTCGGTCCGAAATTACATTTTTAATTTGAATAACTTGTATTTCGTGTTGATTTAGGCATCTCGCCCTGCTAAGACGTGCCCGGGACGCAAAAATTGCGCTTCCCAACTAAAGCTAACTGTATAATGGCGAAGATTGGAGCTTAAAAAGTATAATAGCCTCTCGCCTACGCCCGCCACCCCCGCACCGCCCCATCCGGTCCGAGCAGGACCCTTCGGATCAAATCTGATCACGTCCTCCAAACTTGATCTTGGCACGTAATGAAAAATTGCACCTTCATTACTGAAAAAGGTACAGGGAACCTAAATGACTAAATTTCCGTCCTAACTACTCACAACTAATCTCCATTTAAAAGCCCCACCGCTTAACGGAAACGTACGTCTTCTTTACCGCTTTGCATCTACTTTAACACCAAATACTACCTAAATCCAAATCAAATACTGTGTGTTAGTGTGTTAATTAATTATCGTACCCGACGTCGTCATTGCAAGTATGCAACCAATATCACAGTATTGGTATTGCATAAAAATGTTGTGATATTGGTTGCATACTTGTAATGATGACGAAATCATTTTGAATAGGACAAAAACCAGAAAGTAATTGTTTCGCCC